CTCAAGCTAATAACAACCTGCACTGGACCCCGATTGTCGACCAACAAGGTGAACGCGATGAGCATGATACTATCAACTATATTAATACTAACGGCTGGAAATTGGAGTCGATTGCTATTGTAAGTGTGATTTACAACCCTACTTAAATTATATAATATTATATATACCTGTTTATGTGTAGAATGATACTCGTACCCAGGCCACTGGCACCGGTAGTAACCACCAGCAACAACCACAAAGTATTTTCGAAAGAATCTTCAGTGATATACGTAAGTCATTTAAACATGCTAATTTACAAAATAAAATAATTTAACCTTGATTATATTGTAGTGTCTCACATTGAGAAAGGACTTGGTGGCATTAGCCATATATTTAACGGTATTGGAAAACGATCAACCAGGTCAGTCAACTCACCATCGGCATTAACCACTGTGTCAACTGCCCGCAGGTATAGCTCAAAATAAAATTATTATAAACTTAAAATTAATTAATAAATTTTTAATTTAATAGCGGACTAAATGAGGTAGCTAATAAACGTGGTTTCGTGCTGTCCAAATCGACATTTGTGGGATCGGGACAGTACGCTGGCACCTGGTTAACCAAAAACAGTCAATGGGCTGATATGAGACAGTCCATTATCGGCATGTTGGAGTACAATTTATTTGGCATCCCTTATGTATGTAGAGCATAATTACATCACGCAAGGTTAATTTAATAATACGAATTAATGCTTGATTTTTAGGTGGGCGCCGACATTTGCGGATCCAATGGAGTGGTAACCGCCGAGCTATGCAAACGGTGGTCCCAAGTGGGCGCCTTTTACCCGTTGAGTCGAAACAATCACGACAACCCTAACGATCCCGCTCAGGACCCGGCTGTTTGGGCTGAGCGAGGTAACCAGGATGTGACAAAGGATGCCCAAACTTCACTCTTGGTCCGATACGAGGTGCTGCCCTACCTGTACACCCTGTTCTACAAAGCGCACGTGTTTGGAAACACGGTAGCCAGGCCACTGTTCCACGAATTCCCTACCGATCCCGAGACTTACGCCATCGATCAGCAATTCATGTTGGGACCGGTAGCTTTGGTATCGCCATTCCTGTTCGAGGTATGTATCAAATTATTAATTTTAATATTAGAAACTAGCTAATTAATTAGCGTACAGCATTTGCGTGTCAAAGTTAGCAATATTCATAACTTTTTAAAGCATGTAACAAAATATTAGTATGCTAGCTATATTTTACAACAGCACTACTACAGTAGTATACTGGTATGTTTAATTTTAAAAATTAGATTTTTTTGTATTATTACTAGCGCTAGTTGATATCAAATAAATCTATGAATAGACTAATCACCATGTTTAATTTCAGAACCAAACCACAGTGAGCGCCTACATCCCGGACGATGTCTGGTACGAACCGACCCAGGAGTTCGTCAAACTCTACCCGCACACCGGCCACCAAAACCTGGCCGACGGACAATTCCCGCCCGTATACCTGAGGGGCGGTCACATAATCCCCATGGGTTTCACCGGACCGGCCAACTCGCAGGCGATCCGGGACAACCCGATCACCATGGAGGTGTACCCGAAAAATAAGCAAGCTAAAGGCGACATGTTCTGGGACGATGGCGATTCGATAAACGCCATCGAGCAAGGTCGATTTAACTTTTTCGAAATGGAGCTGTTCCCAAATTGTACCGTGACCATTACCAATAAGATTAAGGGATACAACACGGATAAGCAATATGTACTGGGACGTGTTCTGGTGGCTAACACTCAGCCAGCTAATATTACGGCGACATTGGATGGTAAACCGGTTGAGCCGGCTATTTTCAAAGAGGAGCATAATGACATCACCGTGAACATTGATTTGAATTCCGCTAAACTCGGACAGACCTGGGTGATCGAGTGGCAGACCACTGACGGCACTTGCAATTTGAACTAGTTGTATTTTTAAAAATTGTTATTATGGTTTAAATTCAATAAAATTTTGATTTTCATTTAATTATGATGGTACTTTTATTTATAATGTATAAATAATTTGATAATTATTTAAATGGGTATTGAATAATACCCTTATTATTTATTTATTATGCTGGTAATAAGTTAATTATTTCGGAAAATAATAAAATAATTAAATTTTATGTTAAAAATATGTTTACTATAATTTAAATGCTACAAAAAGCTTAAAATTTATTTATTACAGTTTACAAAGTATTATACACAAAATCATTTTATACTTTGTTAGCACCTTGACCTTGTTAGCTATTTATTTTAATAACTTTTAATATTTAAATAAAAAACTTAAATAAGAATATTAATTTTATACCGAGCTACAAATATGTATATTTCTGAATTAAAATACTAATTAAATAATAATCTATGCTGAAAATCAAAATACTAATGCTAAACTTAATAAATGTACTCATAAACGATAATGTACTGTAGTACCTTCAAATACAATATGCTTGTGAAGGGCATATCATAAATACATTACAGTGTATGCGCTATAAAAAACAGCACAGGTATGTCGAGTACATCGGTAGAGTGCATACAAACAACAACCTATCAGTGGTTTAGTATATTAGCACTCATTGAATGTACGCTATGTTTACGGTGAGTGCAAATAGTTTGAAACTTTTCATAGACTGTAAATACGGGCAAAATCTCAACTATTTTTAAATTTTAATTGTTTTTTAAAACATTTCTAAAACATAAAAACATAAAGTTTTTGTGTAATTAATTATTAGTAACTAATTGTAGTTAACAATGAATTCACTGAAACTGACCATAAGTTTACAGCAAATATATGGACAAAAGGCTCCCAAAAATGTCACTTCAATTCAGTCTCTTTTACGGTATGCATGAGTAGTCTTTCTCTCTCTCTCTCTCTCTCTCTCTCTCTCTCTCTCGTGATATCTAATCCACACTAACACTAAACTCCATTTCCAGTCGACACTCGAGTGCGGCGGCGACTGAGCCCTCGACCGCCAAACGTACTACCATCTCCATTTCTATTTAGTTTATGGTCAAATGGTCAAAATTACACAACGAAAGCCTAGACAGTTGGCAACGGCATGGATGGGCATAGTGCTCATGTTGTAAACAACTTCCCACGCCCAAAAAGCTGGTATAAAACGACCTACGTGTTCTTTGCTTTTTTTATCAAATCAATGTTTAGTGCAACGTTGTAAAAGAGATTCAACTTTAATCGGAAGCATCGTGAAGTGAAAGTCAATTGAGTGGTTATTATTGTCATGATTTGTTAGCCAGTAACATAATTAAAATTTTGAATTGACTAAAATTGGCGAATCAAGTAAATTATCTTGTTAAATTCACGTTCAACCAACACTGGCATCCTCATTTTGTCATTGAAATGGCATAAATTCTATGGATTCTACATAAAATGAATGCTAACTGCTATGTGCCGTCAAATATAATATAATTGCAGAAATGATTACCAATATATGAACACAAATTACTAGTATAACATTGTATTCAATTAAATTTAATGTTATTTCCATGACAAAATGAAAATGTCAGTGATGGTTGAACGTGAATTTAACAAGCTAATTTACTTAATTGGCCAACTTTATTCAATTCAAAATTATAATTATGTTATTGGCTAACTAATCATGGCAATCATAACCACTCAATTTACTTTCACTTCACGATGCTTCCGATTTAAACAATGATGAAAATGCAGATAAAAATTTTAAAAAAGAAAAAATCCGTGAAATTATTAAACATGGTAAAATTGAAATACATAAATTGTACTTGACATTAAAGAAACCGAGAGAAATTAAATGTAAATCCTTTTCAAAAATTATTGCCAAACGTTTCGACAGAATGTATTTCGATGTTAAACACGACGATACTCTGTCTAATGATGACGGTGAAGATGATAATGATATAATTGACCTTGATAATATGATTGTCGTTATTAAGGAATATGAGAACATTGTTGAAGAGGCTGAACATGCTCAAAAAATGGACGATAAAAAGGAGAATGATAAAAAAGTGAATGATGAACAATTTGAGCAAAATAAAAAGATTGAAGAAAGGTTACTTGCATTGGAGCAAAAGAAACCAATTAAAGTAAAGCACTACTATGGTGATAAAAATAAGTATTCAGTGTTTAATAAGTCCACGCTGTCGGAAGTGGGTGATTTACAAATTAAGGATATTAATCAAATCGGGACGGTTGGTGCTTATACATCTAATTAAATTTTTTAAAATTTAAATACAGATGCAAAATTTTCACTCCAACTATATAGCTGTCTCAAAGTTGTTGAAACTATAGTATTATATTAACGCTACCTATCTTCGAAATAGTTATTCCTTTTGATACGAAATATGATATAATATCCGGTTTATGGAATTCCCCGTAATTCACATCCCGTCCCAATTGTCCCGAAATATTGTCACCAAAACTGTATATTTGTTTATACGTATTGACAATCAATAGAAAGTCCGTTCCATTGAGAAACTGTTGTATGTTTTGATATTTTCATTCAATCATTTCTATCGGTGTTTTAATATGTGTATTGTGTCCTTCTCTCTCTCTCTCTCTCTCTCTCTCTCTCTCTCTCNTTTTTGGGTTCAGTCTCTCTCTCTCTCTCTCACTCACTCACTCACTCACTCACTCACTCACTCTCACTATAAGTCCTAGTTTCTAGTTTTTAATACATGTAGGCATTTGTGTTATTTATATTGACATGACTATTATGTTAAATTAAATTAAAATCTCTAAGAATTTCTAAATGCACAAAATATGGTAAAATTATTAAAACACTCTAGACAAGTATTTATAATGTAATTATAAATTTATATTAAACAATATGTCCTTAAGAAATAATATTTTTTTATTTATTTTGAACGTGTAACTTTATGTTCAATAGTAGTGCATACAAATCATATATATTTTTATTGTTTTGCTTTAGAATTATATTATTAGATATTTTAAAAACACAATTTCATTTTATATTTTATAAAATAAAACAGTTTTAAAAAAGACATAACTTAAAATACAACGTAATATAAATGTAATATATTTATACAATTTAATTAATATATTGTTACATTGTCAATTATAAGTAATATTATATACAGTAATTTAGTAAATGAACAAGTTGGAAACATACTGAAAGACTATGTCTTTACACTTAGTATAGGGCGACCCAAGCGCCAACGGAATGGAGGATAACTAGAGTACTTGCAGTTCCACCGGCACTCCAGCTCCACAGTATTCCTGTACTCCAAATTCCTAACTTCCAGTTCTAAAATTAATTAAGTCTTTCGAGTCCCCATGTTTTCTAAAATACGGTATAAAAGGAATGTGCAAAGTTAAGGCACACAGCTTTTTGTTATTCAGTGAAAACTTTTGTAAAAAACTCTTCTATCTTAGCATTCAATATGTGAACTTCAGATCAATAAAAAACTTTTTCTAATAAAACTTAAAAAACCCAAAAACATTTTTACTTTTTCCTTAAATAAGATACTGTAGTCCCTGGTCCGAACCGCGCGAAAGGGCTTGGTCTTTCAATACTTATAATAATTAGTAAATATATAAAACATACTCTACTATTTTTTGAATTGCTATTTTAAAATTTTATTGAATTAACTACTATTAATAATTTCATAACTTACAATGTAATGTAAAAATTTAATTTACATTTTTAAAAAACGTTCATAAGTAAACAAATTGCCATCTACCATCGATGATTATTGTTTATTATTATTGTATATAGGTGGGATAGTTGTACACCAGTCCCCCATCGATCACCAGGTTAGCACCAGTAATAAACTGGGCGTCACTGGAGGCCAAAAACACCGCCCCCTTCGCGATATCCAAGGCGTGGCCATTCCTGCGTAGAGGTGTTCTCGGGATAAGTTCGTCGAAAGCCTTACCGGATATTACGACAGTGCGCTCAACAGCGATAGCACCGGGACTATAATCAACACAAAATATAGTTATAATAAATGTAAAAATATTTTTCATATTTTCAACAATGGTTTACTTGATTGTATTGACGCGTATGCCGAGGGGTCCCAACTCGAGCGCCAGTATGCGAGTCAAGTGCAGGACTGTTGCCTTAGAGGTACTGTAGGCTAATTGGGTGGCCGCCTATGTGAGCAAAATAATATTTTAAAAATAAATAATCAATTAATTTGCTGAAATAATTGTGATTGCTAATTCATAAATATTACAACTCATACAGTACTTGCATATGAATTAATAATAATTAAAAGTAACATGCATGATAAATTATTTATTTTATCTAATCACACATATTATAAAATTAAATTTAGCACGGTAATTTATTAAATGGAGTGTTAATATGATTTGAAAATACGTACCGGGGCAATTCCCAAAATACTGGACATGTCGATGATTGAACCTTGCGACTTTTGCAGCGCCGGTACGGCTAGCCTGACCAACTCGACCATTGGTATAACGTTTGTATTAAATATGTCGTTCCACTGGTTAATAAGGTTGTCGGTGGAGATATTGCTCATGGGATAAATACCCGCGTTATTTATCAACACGTCTAGTCTGCCAAACGTTTTCATTGTCGTATCGTAAAGGCGTTTGACATCAGCCGACACCCTTAGGTCAGCCGTTACTTTCAATGGCTGTAATATAATTTAATTAAAAAATTAAATTCTATTCAATATATAACTAATATTACTATTATTTAATTAAACAAACAGTTTGCTTATAATCTTAATAGATGTATTAAAAATTATGTAAAGTTTCTGGAGAGAATCTGTAGTTTCCGTTATTATAAAATATAATTTTAATTAATGAAGTATAAATATAACCTATTTTATGAATTACAGTTTGTTTATAAAAATAGTGCATGTTTAATTGTACAGTAATATTTGCATGATTATAAACCAGATTCTATAAACACACTTTTGTATGTAAAATTCTTGATATTTAAATTATGTATTTAAATACATTTTACATATAATCATAAATTAATTGAATCTTAATAGATTTATGATGAGTAATTATAATAATTTAAATAACTTAGAGTATAAACAAATACGTGATATAATTAATATTATATGATAATAGTGATAGAAATAACAATGAAAATAATAACAATCATTGCGACTAATACTAATAACTAATATAATATATTATAATATTATTATAATTTATATAATGTACACTACTACTAATACCTAGCTACAATATCCATATTTTATTCAACATAGAGTTACTAAACAACAAAAAAACAAACCTTAACATTTGGCAAATAAATTTATTTTATAAAATATTCAAATATACCTTGAGCTTATTAGGTGATAATTCTTGAGCCTCTTGAGCCACGCTATCTATGCGGGATTGGTTACGTCCGGTGACCACCACATTGGCGCCCAACAGGGAAAATAATTTAGCCACACCGGCCCCTATACCCGCACTTGACCCTGTTACCAGGACCACTTTACCGGTAAAGTTTCGCGAGTCTCGGACAGCTAGGTAGTCGGATATCGGGTAATCATATTTATCGCAACTAGCACCAGCTATGAATAGCACAATGGATACTAAAATTAGTTGCGAGTTCATATTGTTTAGGTTAATATTATTTAAACTTTATAAGTTTCAACAATTTGCTACTGATAACTTATCGAGTTGACGTTAGAGTATTTATAGTTTTCAAATATAATGATTTATTATTATTTTTTAAAAATTACGTAGCTATTAATTATGTAACAGGTGCAAGCAAATGCACTTGATGTACCACATTAATTATACAGTATGTCAATTTTTTACTAAAAATATTATCAAGATTGTTAACAGGTATTTATTGTTTGTTCAATCAACTTCCATTTAATATTTTAAATTATTGTCTTTTTAGCTGTAGTTGTTAAAAGACCTTGATAATGGTTTAGTACCTGCAATTATAAGTTGAATGGTAATTACAGTTAATTTACGGGCTTAAGAGCAAATTTTCAGTGAAAATGTACTTGCTGCACAAAACTATTATACTAATTATTTTGAATATACAGGTATGTGATTATATTAATTTTTGTTGTAGGTACAAGTATTGTATATTATGTAGTGAAATGTAAGTAACAAACTGTGTGTAATATACGGAAATAAAAATTAAACTCTACTTTCATATGATATAAAGCATTATAAATTTTATATGAAAGCAGAGTTAAATAGTTTTTTTTGTATAGCCAGACTTATATTAAATTAATGATTATACACACGCAACTTAGAGAATTATTATTTTTTAAAAAGTATATTAATATTAATTAGCTAAAATAATGAAGTTATTATGTATGTATAACAAATATGAATTATGTTTTTGAAAACAAATTTTTTAAACAATTGATTTTTAAGAAAACTATTTGTAATAAGAAAAATATTAATGATTTATTTGCGATATATAAATACATTAAATATTTAATTTAATAATATTTCATAGTTGATTAATTTTTAAAAATAATATAAGCTTTAATATAACTTTAATATTTTATAATATATACTATTATTTAGCATTTATATTTAAAATTTACATTTACATTAAGAAAATAATGTAAAAATAATTATAATTTATGAAACCTTATAGCCAAAATAATTTTCAGTTATTTACTTATGTTAATAATTCAAAACACAAAAATATAAAGTATTATTTAAAAGGTTTTAATAATGTGTTTGCTTTTAGGAGCTTGGTTGAACAAAAATAAATAATACAAATATTTTTGATATAAATTTTAATGTAAATTAATTTTCTATGAGAAATAAGCTTATTACTACTAAGCTATTATTGTTTTTAAAAAATAAATTTAAAATTAATTTAATAAACTTTTAATTTTGATATAAGTGTTTTATATAAGATACAAATATTATTTTTAATTTATTGATTATTAAAACGTTAAACTTTCTTATATAAGTTATTATCTCAGTATTAAAACAGCATTTAAAAATATATTTACATTATGTACACTACCAATATGAAAATATATGATATCACAAACCAACCTAATTCTGGATTATTTTTATTTTACAGTTTTTGATTATCTAATGTATTTTCAACGTACATATTAAAATATATTTTCAATAGCTGCTATGTGTAAATACTAATATACTTAATGTATGAATATAAATGATATAATACTACTGTATTGTTTCATCCATAATGTTTAAAATCAATAAAATACAAAAAGTTATGATACAATATAATGATTAAAAACTGCCAACATAACATGAAAATAATATTTATGTTTATGCGCAAGCGCACTATTAAAGNATGCCATGACGTGCGAGTCGTGTAAATGTTTTTTCCGGCGAAACGCTCTGAAAGTAAACATTTTTTCACACATTTAATGTGTTTTTGTGTTAATAATAACATATGTTTTGTATTTTTAATAGACCCTGTCGTGCAAGAAAGGCACTGAAAAGTGTAATGTAAACCTGAAAACCCGTAAAAAGTGCCCCAACTGTCGGCTCAACAAGTGTTTAGCCATAGGAATGAAAAAAGTAAGAATTTATTTGAAAACTGTAAATAATTTTAAAATTAAAATCTTTATAGCTATTGTATAAGTTTGAAAAGTATATTGGTGAATGGAGAACCTATTGAATGTATTTTAATAATGTTTGCATTTATTGATTTATTTTATACCACTATTTTATATAGTATAAAATACACATATTAATTATTTACATTTAACATGTCAATCAATAAGATTTCTTAATAATTAAGAAAATATAGCAAATATAAATTAAATTACAGATTAATTATATATATCTGGTCTATAAAACAATTTTTATAATTAAAGTATCAAGGTTGTTTAACTTTAATCACATTTAAATTATAATCACAGGAATTAATATGGGACTCACAAAAACGGTATAAACGGCGCTACATCATTGAACGAAACCGCGTTAAACGACATAGGTCACTTACTAGTCAAAACCAAGTTACCTCAACAAGCAACTATTTGCTGCAAAACATGTCAATGCAAAATTCAACCATGACAATGTGTCCAAGTGCAATTTCCGATTTGACAAATACTACAGATGGCGACACTATCACCGATATAGACACTAATTTATATGAAAAGGCATTCACGTTAGGCATGTCTGTGGTGTCGATACCGCCGCCTATCGTCGACTATAAAACTATTTTTAATGAACTCGAAGGTAATAGATTTACCGAACTCATTATGGCCATGGATTTAATTAAAGTAGTGCCCGCCAAATATATTTCCGAGGTAACTTCGCTTGGTGATTTTTATCTCGCTAGTGACATACAACGTGATAATGATATTAAGAATGTGGCCAAAGTGTTCAAAAGATTAGTATCCTTCAAAGAGATTTGTGACCATGATAAGTTTCTGTTGCTAAAGTGTGGTGCGCTGGAATTACATTATTTACGGTGTATTACCTATTACAACTACGACAAACAAAGTTGGGTTATAAGCATGGTAAGTTAATTTGTATATTTATTTTACAGTGTATGTACTGGTATATAATTAAAATTTATTTTATTTATTTATTTTTAAAACTAGGATGACCACAATGCCATGAATTTGAGCATAGACTTTGTACAGTCGATTCAGCCAGATAATAAAACTCACGCTTTGCTCAGAGATTATGTGAATGACATGTTTATCGAGATCAATCATGATTTTGAAATTATTAATTTAGTAGGTTTGATGAATTAATAGAGTTCAAAATTTATTTAACTAATCTTTATAATTTATTTTAGATGACCGCTATTATTATGTTCAACCCCTACCGGAAAGGGCTTAAATATAGACAAGTTGTTAAGTAAGCTAGATAACAATTTAAAAAAATTATAATTATAAATATTAATTAATAATGAATCATGATTATTAATGATCTTGATCATAGATTACAGCAACAGATTTACATGCATTTACTCCGACGATATCTACTCGTGAAATACCAGTGCGAGGGGAAAGCTAGTGATAAATACCGGCGCCTTATGAATACGTTAACTGATTTATATTATTTGGAAATGTCGTACAAACAGATCACCCTGAACAGAGGTGACCAAAATTACACGCCTTTGTTAAGAGAAATATTAACATGTTAATACATTATGTTGTTAAATTATTAGTAATGTTATAATGAATATTAGATATTTAAATAAAACTAGCAATGTTTATTTTTAATATATAATTACAAAAGTTTTATTATAAAATTAATTTAAAGTATTTAATCGAGGGGGTGATTCTGGACAATACCCCCGTTGGTGAGCACATCCCCTGCGATCAACTTAAGGGTCGAGTAGTTTTTGAGACGTTGTGTTGAATAGAGACCATTCAGGTTATCGCGTAGATATCGATAGCCGTGTTGGCCAGTCGTCTCAAAATCATTTGCTCGTTCACTACTTTCCTATTATACTTCATCAACAGGTGCTCCACACCGGCCCCGAAGTCCTGTATGCCTTTGGACACCAGCGCCGCCTCATCCCTGAGCTCCGGGTGCACGTAGTCCTGAAGTGAGGCACCGGAGCCGCCCAGACCTACCGACCGGGCGAACCGTTTGGTGCCCTCGCCTACGATCGTACCCAAGTTGGACACTGGTTTACGGACAGCCCTTTCCAGTTGTTTAAGGTGTCCCGCCGTGTATTGTATGCCTGGAGGTGGACAGGGATGCTGTTATTCTAGTCATTAATCAAAATTAAACAAAATTTGTAGCGCCAGTAGTCAAAAGGTATACTTAAACTCCACTTTCCAATGACTATATTAATACCAAACAGTAGTGTATAGTCATATGAAAACAGAGTTTGAGTGCACCTTTTGACTACCGGCGCCACATATATATGTTAGACCAGTACTGACCGGTCAGGGCTACGAATAGCCGGAGTATATCATTAGTGCCCTCGAATATGCGGAATATCCTGACATCCCGGAGCACTTTCTCGAGTCCCGTGTCCCGCATATAGCCCATACCTCCCAGTATTTGTATGGACTCGTCGCACACCTCCCAGGCCGCCTCCGACGCATACACTTTACTGATAGCCGCCTCCAACTGGTAGTCCGTAACCCCGTTATCCATAATACCGCTGATAGTGAGAGGGGGAACGGGAGGTATAAATTTTTACGATAAGTGTTGGGTAAAGGTTTGACGGTTGGTTTGATGACTACCTCAACATATAGGCCATGGATTCGGTGACGTAGTGGCGGACAGACATGCGCGCGATTTTCTCCTGTATGTCCCCATAGGTGGACAGTTTGCTGCCAAATTGGGTCCGGGTGTTCGCGTGCTCTATGGACTTCTCGATACAGGTCCTCATAGCGGCTATAGATGAAAATGATCAAGGTAATTAGTAAAAATTTATAGTTACAATTATAGTGATTAATAAGTGTATTTAATTTATAATTATTACAAACTGTAATTAATTACTATAAGGTTATGCATTAATTTTAATTAAAATAAATTAAAATAGCTTGGTTACTATCCAATCGATTATGCTAAAAATTTATTTTATATAAAAATTACATTTAATTAACTAATTAACCCCGATTATATTAAAAATACACATCTCACTTAAATTATATCATTAATTAAGTTAATAAACTTTTTAAGCTTAAAAATAACGTTATCTCTATGGATGGCACTATCCTAAACACTCTCAACGGCATAGCACCGCAACGGCTATCACTGACTCGCTTAGTGTTCTATTAAAACTATTAAACTAATTTTTAAACTAGCAACAAAAAACATGGACATACCGGTCATGGCGCCAGTCATACCGAACCTCCCATTGTTCAGCACTTTCATAGCTATCTTAAAGCCCTCGCCTACCGGGCCCAGTAGGTTCTCCACCGGGACCTTCACGTTATCAAAATACACGTCAGTAGTATTGGACGCCTTGATGCCCATTTTCTTATGAGGCGGACCCGACGTAACTCCCGGCCCCCTCTCGACGATAAAGGCCGCGGTCTGGTCGCCCACTCTGGCGAATACGGTGAACACATCGGCGATACCCCCGTTGGAGATCCAGATCTTTGTGCCGTTCAGTACGTAGTGTTTGCCGTCCGGCGAGAGTTCGGCGCGGGTTTGGATGCTCGACGCGTCCGACCCTTTTGTCAAACCCCCGCAAGTAATTTGAAAAAAAATATGTTTAAAAATGTTAATTAAATTATATTTATTAGAGTTTTATCAGATAGTAGTTGAGATAGTATCGAGTATAATACTGTATGATCTAGGTAAAAATCGACATCATTTGTATGATCTAAAATATTTTTGCTAATAGGTACGATTGAGAAAGTTCATTTGTGGACATTTGTGGCTAATGTTAACTGGCCACAAATGAACTTTTTCATTTTTCCATTGTACATGATAATTATTTTTAAAAATAATGTATCATGTTTGTAAGCATATTTATCATGTTGCAGTAACTATACTATTATGTTCATATAAAAAAGTTTATTGCTTTTAAAAAATACCTAATTTAAATATTATTTTTAAAAATATTACAGTACTGTACTTATTATAGTGAGCAAATTATCAACATGGTTAACAGGGGAACTGTATGACACATACCGACTCCCGGTTCCGTCAAACAGAAACACGCGAGCCGTTTACCGGTGGCCAAGTCGGGCACGAATCGGCGTTTTTGGTCATCCGTACCGAACAAAAGTATGCCTTTATAGCCAATGGCCTGGTGGGCGGCCGTGAACACAGCTAGTCCCAGGTCATACCGGCATAGGATCTCACCAATCCGGGCGTATTGGGTAGTATTCATACCGATGCCACCTAATTCAGTAGGGACCTGAGTGGTAGGGTGACCGGGTTTAAAAATGTATTACTTTATGAGCTTTTAGCAAATTATTTTAACACTATTATGATTATATCAAATAGCAAGTTAGCTAGTTTAAATAAAATTGTAATTTTTGGGGATTTACGAATTAATTAAACAAGGTAGCTTAAATTTTTTTAAAAATAAATTATGAATAAAATTAAATTATAAGATATGCTAAAGTCGTAGACATGTGATCACCCCTAACCTGAATGCCAAGTAAACCCATTTCCCTCATAGTATCTACAAGTTTGCCGTCAAACGCCTCGTTAGCCTCGTATCGGAGGGCATCGGAGGGCGCCCACTGCCTGACAATGGGTTCGGTCACCATATCAACCATCTGTAGGTCACCGGCGGTTAACACATGTGGGTACGGGAACTGCTGCTGAACTTTGGCCTCTCCTCGGAATAGGTTCATCACGAATGAGGCCGACTCTACTACCGGTGCTGATGCTGGACTGGTAGTACGTTTGGCGGTCGAGGGCTCAGTCGCCGCCGCACTCGAGTATCGACTGGAAATGAAGTTTAGTTTTAGTGTGTATTATGCGAGAGAGAGAGAGAGAGAGAGGGAGAGAGGGAGGGAGAGAGAGAGAGACTACTCATACATACCGTAAAAGAGACTGAATTGAAGTGACATTTTTGGGATCATTTCGTCCATATATTTGCCGAAAACTTGTGGTCAGTTTCAGTGAATTCATTGTTAACTACAATTAGTTACTAATAATTAATTACACAAAAACTTTATGTTTTTATGTTTTAGAAATGTTTTAAAAACAACTAAAATGTTAAAAATGCTGAGATTTTGCCCGTATTTACAGTCTATGAAAAGTTTCAAACTATTTGCACTCACCGTAAACATAGCGTACATTCAATGAGTGCTAATATACTAAACCACTGATAGGTTGTTGTTTGTATGCACTCTACCGATGTACTCGACATACCTGTGCTGTGTTTTATAGCGCATACACTGTAATGTATTTATGATATGCCCTTCACAAGCATATTGTATTTGAAGGTACTACAGTAAATTATCGTTTATGAGTACATTTATTAGGTTAGCATTAATATTTTGATTTTCAACATAAATTATTATTTAATTAGTATTTTAATTCAGAAATATACATACTTTGTAGCTTGGTATAAAATTAATATTCTTATTTAAGTTTTTTATTTAAATATTAAAAGTTATTAAAATAAATAGTTAACCAGTTCCAGGTGCTAACAAAGTATAAAATTATATTGTGTATAATACTTTATAAACTGTAATAAATAAATTTTAAGTTTTTATAGCATTTAAATTAAAGTAAACAATAAAATATTTTGGATTCATCTCAACCCAACTAAAACATATTTTTAAAATAAAAGTTTTAGTTTTAATTCTGAAATTTAATCATTTTATTATTTTCACAAAAATTTAACTTATTAACAGCATAATAAATAAATAATAAGGGTATTATTCAATACCCATTTAAATAAGCTTTAAATTAGTTATACATTATAAATAAAAGTATCATCATAATTAAATGAAAATAAAAATTTTATTGAATTTAAACCATAATAACAATTTTTAAAAAATACAACTAGTTCAAATTGCAAGTGCCATCAGTGGTCTGCCACTCGATCACCCAGGTCTGTCCGAGTTTAGCGGCATTCAGGTCAATGTTCACGGTGATTTCATTATGCTCCTCGTTGAAAATAGCCGGCGTAACCGGTTTACCATCTAATGTAGCGGTAATATTAGCTGGCTGAGTGTTAGCCACCAGCACACGTGCCAGTACGTGTTGCTTATCAGTGTTGTATCCCTTAATCTTATTGGTAATGGTCACGGTACAATTTGGGAACAGCTCCATTTCGAAAAAGTTAAATCGACCTTGCTCGATGGCGTTTATCGAATCGCCATCGTCCCAGAACATATCGCCTTTAGCTTGCTTATTTTTCGGGTACACCTCCATGGTGATCGGGTTGTCCCGGGTCACCTGCGAGTTGGCCGGTGTGGTGAAACCCATGGGGATTATGTGACCGCCCCTCAGGTATATGGGAGGGAATAGGCCGTCGGCCAGGTTTTGGTGGCCGGTGTGCGGGTAGAGTTTGACGAACTCAGTGGTCGGTTCGTACCAGACATCGTCCGGGATGTAGGCGCTCACTGTGGTTTGGTTCTGAAATTAAGCATGGTGATTAGTGTAATTCATAAATTAATTTGATATCAATTTGCGCTAGATAATTAATTATATATATATATATTTATAATATTAAAATAAATAATATGTGGCACATACCTCGAACAGGAATGGCGATACCAAAGCTACCGGTCCCAACATGAATTGCTGATCGATGGCATAGGTCTCGGGATCGGTAGGGAACTCGTGAAACAATGGCCTGGCTACCGTATTTCCAAACACGTGCGCTTTGTAGAACAGGGTGTACAGGTAGGGCAGCACCTGGTACCGGACCAGTAGGGACACCATGGCAGCCGAGGTCACATCCTGGTTACCTCGCTCAGCCCAAACAGCCGGGTCCTGAGCGGGATCGTTAGGGTTGTCGTGATTGTTTCGACTCAACGGGTAATAGGCGCCCACTTGGGACCACCGTTTGCATAGCTCGGCGGTTACCACACCATTGGATCCGCAAATGTCGGCGCCCACCTAAAAATCCAACATTAAATCGTATTATTAAATTAACCTTGCTTGAGTTAATTATGCTCTACATACATAAGGGATGCCAAATAAATTGTACTCCAACATGCCGATAATGGACTGTCTCATATCAGCCCATTGACTGTTTTTGGTTAACCAGGTGCCAGCGTACTGTCCCGATCCCACAAATGTC